TCCTTATAGAGGGGGTATCTAAAGTCATTTACAGACAACAAATACCACATTCCTGATTTTGAGAGATCAAGTGGCATCGCCCGTGGTAGAAATGAAATGTTCAACAAACGTCATTCTTCTTTACTCGGGGTGATTTAAAGAATATTTGAGATTTGAAAGAAAAAATTGGTCATCATATGCGATATGCCGACTTACCCATTTCCCAAACAAGTACATATTGTGGTGGCAACTATGACGCTTCACAATTCATTAGACAACATCCCTCTCAGTCAGATACGAACTTAAGTATGACTGACGATAACGAGATGCATATCCCGCCTGAAGCATTCAAATTCCAGGTTGGGCAGCCTATACTGGAGGCTGTGATGGAGTCGCACGAATTTGATACTCAGGATGACAAAAGTGCGGAGATGTTTGCTTTGAGGGAGCATATCACAAATGCTATATGTGGCTGCTGATTGACCCAATCTTCTTTATTTTGCAGACTAGATGTTGTTTTACGTTGTATGTTTCATTGTAAATTTTGATTTTATAATATTAACATGTTTAAGGGGCTTTGATGTTATCTTTTTTATTTTGTTTCTTTTTTTGTGGTTTTGTGAGGTCAATGATAAAACATATGACCGTATGAGTTCTTCTGGACGGTCAATTCGTCGTCGTTTTAGTGTTGCATGTGAAATTCTAATAAAGGAAATCAAGATCCTCTTCTATTTTTGGTGTTTCAGTATATGAAAATCCACAAGAATAGTCTTTCTTGTTGATATGCACGTGTGACACATGTCATGGGTTACCCATTGGTGTTGCATGTTAAATCCTAATAAAGGCAACTGAGGTTCTATCTTCTTGTCGGTGCATCGGTATATGATGATCTATTGAATGGTTTTTTGTGATGATAAGCACATGTGCCACTAGACGTTAGTCTTACGTGGGTTAAAGACAACCAAAAACTTATTTTTTTATAAGGTCTACTGTCTGTTTGTTGTGACAATCTCGTTGGTTGGTTTAGTTACTTCCTTGAGGCGTACACCTACTATTTTTTTATTTATATTAAGTATATTTATGTTTGGTATATTTTTTGATTTGAAAATTTCACGGTATATTTTCTGTTTTATTTTTTTCGTAGGCTTCTGAGATACATGATGACACTTTCGATCTTATGGGCGCTTTGAGTACTCATGTCTGTTTTTTTTAATCAGATTTTCGTTTCTTTATTTTATACAGTTTCTTATTTTTAAATTCCACATTTTTTTTATTTATTTCATCTTATTTTATGAATGACGTGTTCTCTCTCGAATAAATGTAGCAAGATGAGCTACAACTTTTTGGGGAACTCCGGGCGAGTGTTATGTCGCAGCGGATTGCCTTCTTTGTTGTTCACGTCGCGCAAGCCACATAGCTACTGACTGCAGTTCTACAGGTGCCCGCGGTGGGCAGACGGACCGGACGACAGTAAGTTCTTCAGGAGGGCAGACAGTTTTGCCGATTCTACGGTATCTGGATCGGACAACGTTGAACTGCAGTTCTACAGGTGCCCGCGGTGGGCAGGCGGACCGGACGACAGTAAGTTCTTCAGGCGGGCAGACAGTTATGCCGATTCTACGGTATCTGGATCGGACAACGTTGATTGGGATTCGATGGTATCCCAACCAGAGAACGTCGCTTGAGGTTCGACGGTATCTCAACCAAACAATATTGCTCGGGGTTCGACGGTGTTGCAACCAGAGAACGTTGCTCATGACATGCTTTTACATTTTAAAATGAATATTATCATTCTTCTAATTATAATTTTAATATTTTATTTCTTTTTTATTATATTTCTTGATACTCGCTGTTAAGTGAGGTGTATATCCTTTTTTGTACTGTTATGAAGTGATTTTTTGGGTTCTCAATTGTCAAATGTGTAGCTGTTACAGTTTTGTTGCAAACAGCAACACTGCGCAGTGTTAGAATGATCATTTATCCAGAAAAAGCTGCAAATCAATTGTTTTTGAAACGCACAAACCAAACACAACCCTGCGCAGTGTTAGAATGGTCATTTATCCAGAAAAAATTGCAAATCAATTGTTTTTGAAACGCACAAACCAAACCAGCTTATCTAGATCAGGGGCAGAATGGTAATTTATCCAGAAATAACTGCAAACCACCTGTTTTCCAAATGCACAAACCAAACAGTCAACCTGTTTTTTAGGATAAGCTGCTGATTAACAGTTTATCAGGATAAACTGTTATCTGGATAAGTTGTATTAGTTGTAGCTGCCCCACACAGACCCTAATGACATTGCCTTTGATATCCAATGTGGAGGCATTTGGTTCATATCTCGACACAAAGAAAAAGAGAAATCGGGTTCCTATTTTTTTCGAGGATAGATAAATAAACCTGCATTAAATTTTGTTGGGTATGCACAGTATACAAGATTTAAATCTTAAGCATTTGCATCACAGGTATGCTTACTAATTTCTTTTATGTAGCAGAGCTTTCCTTACGTACAACATCTTTATGTCTTTGGCATAATGATCCTAAAATGTATGCCTGCTATGAAATGTTGAATAGACCAATTTATTCAGTTCATATTTGAAAATTTCATAAGCAATGGGCAAGACAATGTGCATGTGTATGACTTGGACTTTTATAAAATCTTGAGATTTACTAGGAGGAAAACATTTTTATTGCTGATAGAAATTTGCATTTATATCCTGCGTTTTATTTATTGAAAGCTGCTAATTTAGTCACTGATGCTTCTTGATATTCGAACAAACCTAATGCCTGTGGGCCTACTTTTCTTGCAGGGTTTAAAAATTATTATTTCTGATTCTTGATTGACTCTAAAGAGATTTGACATCCCTTTGTTATTGTTTAGGGATATAACTAGCTTTTTTGGCATTATGAAATGGTTTTTGAAAGTTATTTTTTATAGCAAATATCAATATGTTTCGTTTGAAATAATTTTTGACAAAATTTGCTTCTTTAATCAGCTTTTGCTCCTTTTCAAAACATTTTTTTTTCTTTGGTAGACCTTTTTTAATTATTTGATTTTCCTTTTTACAGGAACTGCATTTTCGACGGAAATCTATTGTAAGTTCCTACTCTAGTAACACACTAGTTGTGTGATGGATGCCTGTACAGGTTGTATCTTTGGTGATTGTATTGTAGGGATCCTTCGACTGCAGTAGCTAAATAGATTTATGATGTTTCAGAACTTGTTAATGTACACCTTGGTGAATAATATTTAAAAGGGTATAAATGCCGCCCAATTCTTATTTATTAAGTATCTAATGCCTAAACTTTACTTTTTACATTTACATCACTCAATTCTTTCATAACACATTATAGAAAATAGGTTTGTAGTGGAATAATTCTCTTGATACTATTATTCATAGGCAGGGCACACACACAAACATATATATATGGGAAAACAATCTCTTTTAATTTAAAAACTTACCAATATATCTAACCTGAATCAGTAAAGGAAGTATTCTGAAATAAAAAATAAAATAACATTGAATATGATTAATCAATAGTTTCCTAAGTTATCCCAATCAATTCCTCCAAGATCTTCTCAAATTTCCACACTCCTCCTCAGTTTGGGTCGTAGATGCTGTAGAGACCAAGCTTGATATTGAACTCTGAGAAGGTGCTTAAAGGAAGAGCTTTGGTGAAGACATCGCAACTTGTTGGTGTGAATATCATCAACTTATTGATTTGTCTAGATGTAGCTTAGCTGTATAATTCCCTCGTTAACTTTTTCAAAGATAAAGTGTATGTCAACATCAATATGGTTGGTCTTGTCGTAATGCATAGGATTCTTGACAATAGTGATAGTTACTTGACTTTCACAAAACATCTGTATAGGCCTATTGGAGGTACATCCCAGTTATTTTAATAATTTCTAAATCCAGATTCTTTCATAAATTCCCAAGACAAATGCCCTTTACTCTAATTCTGCACTACTAGAAATGACATTTTGCTTTTTATTTTTCCATCTAATCAGCTTTTCCCATACATATGAGCAGTAACATGTGGTGGATCTTTTGTTAATGAGTTCCCCAACCCAACTGGCATCAATATGAACTTCCATCTATTGGTTTTTGGTTTTCTTAAAAATTAATCCATAGTTAGGAGTCTTTTTGAGAAATCTCAGAATCCTATATACTGCCTCCAAATACTCTTCAGTTGGGCTATTCATTTGTTTGCTCACAATACTAACAAAGTATGGAATAACTGCCAATTAGATGATAGATAAATGAGTTTTTCTACTAATTTTTGGTATTTTCTCTTATTCAAAAATATGTTTTCTTCTTCTCTATTAGAATTATTGGATTGCATTAGAGTATCAACATGATTGCATCTAATCATCCCTGTTTTCTTTAGTAGATCTAGGATGTATTTCCTCTGTGATATAACAATACCTTTTGCTAGACCTTGTTGTTTCCATACCTAAAAAATGTCCCATGTTTTTAGGTCCATAATTTCAAAGTTTACGATCAAAAGTTTTTTTTTTATTTTAAGAAATTTTATGTTATCATCATCAGGAAGAATCATATCGACCACTCAACAGCAGATGTTGCTTCTCATATTGGGTAAAAAAGCAAACCTATAGCTGCAGAAGTAAGAATAATGACACCTGAGATAATGTTGTTTCCATAAAGTAAAGACACCCAGAAACAGATTCACGAATACCATCAATATCAACTGGAGGGGCAGCAAGGAAGATTGATAAATACAGAAGTTGTGGTCAATCCACACATACGGGGGGCAGCAAGGAGGACTGATAAATACAGAAGTTGTGGTCAATCCACACATACAATCAGTGCAACAATCTTATCTTTTTTTGTGTGTTTTATATAGGGGCGTAAACGAGCCGAACACTAGCGAGCCCAGGCTCAGCTTGTGCTCGGCTCGTTAAAAAATATCACTGTTCGTGCTCGGCTCATTTATATTTCGAACAAAAAAAGTGTGTTCATGTTCGACTCATTTTCTTAACGAGCTGAACATGAGTTGTTCACGAACAAAGAGTCGTTTTGACAACCTTAATCACACAGTCGTAGGATGATATGGGTTGGGGCCAAATTTAAATCTTATTATTTATATTAAAACTTCTTTTAAATTTAATTCAATATATTTTTATTCTATTTTTTAAATTAATAATTTTAATTGACTATAAATCTTTGTAGCCTAGTAGTCAATTAAATTTTTTAAAAATACTACTCATCAATATATATATACACACACACACACACATACATAATTGATGAATAGTATTTCGAATAGGGTTTAGGGTCACACACATACATAATTGATGAATAGTATTTCGAATCAAAAGGAGCCGAACACGAATGAACAAATCTTTGTTTGTGTTCGACTCGTTTATATATCGAACACAAAAAAAGTGTTTGTGTTCGACTCGTTAACTTAGCGAATGAATTAAACACGAGCTTCTTAATCAGAAGAACATGAGCTGTTCACGAACGAGCCGTTTTGACAGCCCCAGTTTTATGAACAATGTGATCAGCTTGATTTTGAGAATATTAATTAGATTTTATTTTCTTAATGAATCTTTCAAACCTCGTTATTGGTGATCACTTAAGCCCATAGAGAAACTTCCTCGATTTGCATATTAGGTGTTTTTCAGAATCATTCTCAATTCTTGGTGTTATTTCAACCCACACTTCTAGATTTCTATTCAGGGAAGATATTTTTTATGTCAAGTTGATGCAGTCTCCATTCCTTGTTAACTACTACTGAAAAGAGAACTTTGATAGTATTTAGTTTGGCAACTGACGTGAAGTTTCCCTGATAATCAATCCCGTAGGCTTACATAAAATCTTTTGCAATAAGTTTGATTTTGAATCCCTCAATACTCTCATCAAGATTGTATTTGATGTTGAATGCCCACTTGCAACCGTCTTCTTATCCTTAGGTGGTTCAGTTAAAATTCATGTCATTATGCTGTAGTGCTCGAATATCCTCTTCCATTGCTTTCTTCCATTCTGAATTTTCAAGAGCATCATAAATTGATTTAGGAACTGCACACTATCAAGGTTAGATATAAACACTCTATCAGGTGTGGATTGCTTTATATAGGCTGCGTACTTCTAAATTGGATATCTAATGCAGCTTTTCCTGTCGCCAATATGAAAAGAGGAAGGGGATAACTCATGAGTACTAGACACACACAAAATTTCATGTGAATGTGAACCGGGTTTTGGTTTGAGCTGTTTTGTCCTTGCAAGTTGTCTTCTACCTACTTAAGGTTTTTCTTCCTTGTATCTACATGAATTTTTTTGTTCTGCACTTCATACTGCGTTGGTTGAGCATTCTCAATCCTGATAGGAGGGCTAGATGAAGTAGGTAGTGAGGCCATGTAAGTGTCTTCAAGTACATCCCAAAATTTATGTTCATGTGCACTCTCCCCCTGAATATCAGATTCGAGTTAGTATGATTGATTTTCAAAAGATGTAATATCCATAAAATTGTAGTATTTTTTTTGTAATAGGAGAATAGCACTTATACCCCTTTTGTTGGTGGCATACCCAAAAAAATTATATTTGATAATTGTAGGTCAAGTTTTGTGTGATTATGGGAGTGGATGGGAACAAAGGATATGAACCCAAAGATTTTGAGTGGGATAGTAGAAAAGAAAACTTGGATATGAGGATTAGTAACCATCAAAATATGAAGAGGTGCTTTGAAGTTAAATATCCGGCTAGGCATTTAATTGAGATAATGTATCCTGTAGTAATAACTGCTTTCTCCCAAAAATGTTTAGGAACTTGATAGATCATCATAATTGAGTTTGATATCTCAAGGAGATGCTTGTTCTTTCTTTTAGCTATCTCAAATTTTATTGTGGGTTATCAGTACATGAACTCATATGGATAATTCATTTTTTTGAAAGATATGATCCAATGATGGAGTTGAAGTATTTCTTTGCATTATGAGTTTTAAGGATTTGAATGTTGCATTAGAATTGAGTTTGAATCATGCCATGGAAGTTTTGGAAGATTTGAATGTTGCATTGGAATTTCCCATGATCCTCTTTCTCACTTCATCCAATTCTTGAGTTAGTCCAACTAAGAATTTGACGGTTCTCTTCTTCTTGATGATGGATTTAAACATCACGGCATCATGTGAACATTTCCACACGTGTCTCAAATATATTTAATTGTAACCAATATTTTCTCAAAGTGTTGAAGTATTGGGTGACACTTAGTTCTCCTTGATGAAAGCCATGAACCTTGGTTTCGATCTTAAATAATTCCGCAGTTTTTTCAGTGCTGGAATATGTTACTTTTGCATTCTCCCAAATTTCTTTGGCAGTTTTGTAGAGCAAAAAATTTTCTCCCACTTCAGTGATCATTGAATTGACTTGCCAAAAAATAATCATATGGTCTCGATTCTTCTATGTACAGTGGTTGGGGCCAGTGATCTCATGATCTGTGTCATCTCACGTGAAATGTTTCTCTTTCTCTTTCTCACAAATATATGTAAATACGGATTGGTACTATTAAAGAAAATTATGGCCATTTAATTTATGATTTGTGATAAAATTAGAGAGCTCAGTAGTCGCGTGGCAGAATCCCTTGTCTCTAATTGAGAATTAAGCTCTGGAATCATGTTTAGGCTCTATGCCCGCTTAGAGTTGAAGTTTTGAAAGAGGAAGGAATTCAGGAAGCTGCTCGCCGGGTTGTACGTGTTGTAGGATATCAACCGTTAGAGGTAGGCAATAGGTGGGAACAACAACTGTTTCTGCTTGCTCAGAAAAGGTCCTTGCTGTGATCCTTTTGAAGCCAGCAACAGTTAGGGAGCGGCAACCGGAACTGCTTGTTGCGATCCTTTTCAATATCCAGGACTCTGCTTGCTCTGATCAGTTCCAATGCGACTTCCAATCAGATGAGCAACCACGCAATCCAACAGCCCTGCAGGAAACCAACTATATATTCACGACTCTGCTTGGACCACTGACAGACCCACGACTCTGCTTGCACAGGTTATGGTGAGGAATGAAGCAGGGATCAGGTTGACCTATAGGGGGGGTCTAGGAAGAGCATCGGCTCTGGGGGTTACAGGGAGAAGCTTCGACATAGGCCCTGCAAGAAGAGCAGTGGCTACCGGGAAGTTGAAAAAATATATGGTTTGTTTCCCACGTCTCTAATACTATGCATAAAATAAGTTTGGAGATGAATAATTCTCTTGATACTATTATTCACATGTAGAGTACATATATACGTAGGGGAATCATTCTCTCCTAATTTATAACTTTATCAAATATGTATTTAACCTAAATTAGGAAAGGAAATATTCTGAAATAAAAAATAAAGTAATTTAGAATAGGAAAGGAATAAATTAATCAAGAGTTTTCTAAGTTATCTCAATCAAGTCCTCCAAGATCTTCTCAGATTTCTTCTAGAATTTTCTCAAATTTTTACACTTCAAAAGTACCAATATTTTAACTTTTAAAAATTGAAATGCATCTTTTCATGCATAGACATGGTGGCATATATGTAAAAATTAAAGTTTAGATTGTTAGATATGTAAATACATAGGAATTAAGTGGTATGTATGTAAATCTTCCTACTTAAAAAACTGCATACTTATTATTTTCTCGAATGTTTTTCACCCTTTTATCAGATAGCCTTAATAAGAATAACGGGCTATGCCTGAAGCTGTGGTTAACTTACCTCAATTTTGATCTAGAAGTCATGTGCTTGAGAAACAAAATTAATCTTTCTGCATTGTAGGGGTAAGGATGCTTGAACCTTTCCCAAAGCCTGCGTTGTTGGGTGCTTCTTTCAGCCAATTACGTCTGTATTTTATTCCCGAGATCTTTTCTCAAAGCCTGCATTGGCTGGAGCTTCTTGCAGCCAATAAACGTCTTTTTTATTAGATAGCTTTAGTCTGATTCATTTATTTTCAAAGACTGATCCACTCGGACATTATTTGTTAGGCCTTCCAACATATGATGCTGCTTCGTTTTCTGCATTAGCTTTTTGTTTTGGTATTGGAAGTTTATCAGTATTTTATTGACTTCTTAGCGGTGATTGCAACATGAATTGATGTTTTAATTCTTATTCGCCTCACTTCATGGCTTCAAAATAGTTTTTCTGTTAGAATAGAGTGAGAAATGGTTTTGTTATCACTATATGACAACTTTTATGAGAATGAAGTGGAATTGTCTTATACATGTGGTCTGTCTATGATACATTACCAAAAACTTTTTACCATTTGACATCCAGGTCACATTTGTCTAGTATGTCATTAGCTTTCATCTTGAGCAATGATTGAACTCTCCATTGGTTTTAACTTCTATCATCTCCACCTATTCGTTCTTTTATGGATGATTACATTTCTTGTTTTCAACTCTAAAAGATGCTCCGGAAAAAAAACAATCAATATCGGTTCTATCTCTTCTTATTCACGTTTGGTTCTATGCATTAATGATGTAAAAGTAAATTAAATGGAGGGGATTTATAAATTCTTACATTTCGTTTGATGGAAATGTAATGCAATGTAAAATTTTGATGAATTTAGAATTTATCCTGCATTTCAAAATTATTGTATTCTAACTTCATTAGATTTGGGAGATTTTCAAATGCACTATAAACTATAGCTTGTTGGTGTCGCCACTACGCTGCCTACCCCTCATTGTCGTTGGTTGTCGCTGTTGGCTACTGTTTGTCATTGCCTGCAGTAAGCAACCACTGTTACCATCGCCAGTCGCTTGCTATTAACAGTGTCGCCATCGGCTACTGTTGTCATTGCCTGCAATAAGCAACCACTGTCGCCATCGCCAGTCGCTTGCTGTTAATACTGCCGCCGCCGACTGTTTGCAATCATCGCTGCCAGCTATAGGCAGCCACCACTCTTCGTCACCTGCCATAGACATTGCAGTTGCCGGTAGTTGCCACTAATATGTCGAGCATGATTTATATTTATTTTATTTTTCTTCAAATCAAGCATATTAATGTAATTTCATGCATTTAGTTTACATCAAATCAAACAACTTTAAAGTATTTCGAATAAACTGAGGTTGTTTGGTTAGTTGCAAAAGGAGGGTGTTGCATTCATTTTGCATGGCTTTAGGATTCAGATGTTTGGCATATAGATTTACAAATTCAATGTGAAATAAGAATGAATTTAGAAATCATTTCTTAGTTCATTTTCACTGTACTTGGATTTTGATGGATTTGACCGATTTTCAAATGCATAGCTTTTCACAAAGTGTTGTCTGTCGCTGCTGGCTATAGCCACCTCCCGCTGCTACCTGCCATTGCCTCCGCTAACTCCAGTCATCGTGTTTCCAGTTGCCACCTTCGGCCATAGCTATCTACTATCGACCATCACCTCCGTTTACAGTTGCAGGCCGCCAATCGCACTCCCCTGTTGCTAACCACTGGTCGCAGCCACCTTTGGCCACTGCGTTGCCATTGGTCCTCATCTCCCGTCACTACTGTCGACTGTCGCCACCTCTTCTCCGACTATCGTTGCAGCCGACCACCACTGTCCCTGCCACCACCAAGCACCACAATCCCCATCGCCGCCAGCCACCACACTTCCCGTAGCACCACAATTCCCATCGCCGCCAGCCACCACAATTCCCGTTGCAGCTAGACACCACGTCCGACCACCACCACCACTACCATTAATTTATGACCTCACATATTATGAAATACATTAATTTTATTTTACTTCAAGTAAAATAAAAAAATATAAAACACGTTTATTTTACGTCAAACCAATAAACTTTAAAATATTTCAAATACAATACATTACTTCTGCATTGTATTCATATTACACTGCATTATTTTTTCAGCCGATCAAACAATGCAGATAAGTTTTAAGTACTCTGTATTCGATTAACACTGCATTCTTTTTTCAACAAATCAAAAAACCCCAAAGTTTTATGGAGTGTTGTTATAATGTTTTTGTTCGAGCGGTGTTTTGTTAGCGTTGCTATGAGAATTTCAAGTTTGGATTTCTTTTTTAGAAAACTGAATGTAGAATAACACTCCATGTAATGCTTTTTTTATGGATTGTATTTCTAATTCAGCAGCCATGTCACCTGTTATGATTTTAATATGTATTTCAGGCAAACTAAAATTCACAATATTGGTGCTACCCTTGTCGGAGTTGATAAATTTGGAAATAAATATTATGAGAGACTGGATGATACCCAATATGGTATGTATAATCTGTTCTAGCATTTGTTTCTCTTATTTTTTAAAAGCAGTACTTAAAATCTAATTATTTTCTTGAATTCAACTCAAACAATTCAGTTGCTTTATTTTAATTGCTATAATGATACTTCTCTGTTTAAATAAATTTACATTAGATCAACAAGTTTAGGGGTCTATTTGGTATAGCTTTATGGCTGTGTTGCATTTCAAACCGTCACACTGTTCTGTTTAGAGAATTATTTTTTATAATTTTTTAGGTGAGATGCTGTTTCTTGTAACTAGATCTATTAAAATGTTGTGGTTTTAAAAAAAATCTGATGTATGACTCCTTGGGAAAAAATATATATTTATAATTCCCGCCATAGTTTTTAAAATTATTCTACCCACTACTTTATGATCATCTCTATAAAAAATTGCAGCCGTCCCGAACAAACTTTACGTCTCCAAAGTAAATTTTAATACCGTTTTATTGCTCAGAAAATTCAATCAATGATTAATTGTTCAGTGTTTGATGACTTTCAGCGACAATCGTGCATTTTTTCTCCTCTGCTGTTGCTGAAGTTTTGATGCTTTCAATTGATTTGTTCAGAATGCCTGTAGAGATCTCAACTTCTAGTTTTTACTAAGATATTGGTAATCAAGAAATGCTGAGAGCTTCAGTTTATGAATTTTGTTTACAGGAAGGCACAGGTGGGTAGAGTATGCTCAAAAAAGCAGGTATAACGCATCTCAGGTTCCGCCTGAATGGCATGGCTGGCTGCACTTCATTACTGACCATACTGGCGATGAGGTAGGATTCAGTTTTTTTTTCTTCATTGTTTTGTCAGAACGAAATAAAAGGAAGCCAATTTTAAGTGGATATTTTATTAGTCTTGAGATTGAATTGTGTCAAATCCTGCAATGTCATTTGTGCTCCTTTCAGGTTCATTAAGCTTGAAGAGGCTAAATGTCTGTTTGGGACAGCATTTTAACTATTTTGTTTCTTAGATTGTTGTCAGACACTTTCGTTTAGTCATTATTTTTTTCTGCTTTACAAAATTTTTATTTACCGATTTTTATGATATTTGTTTGAGTATGATAGCTATGAGAAAGTGATAGGAATGAGACAAGTTTGCACAAAGATTGGGGCAAAATAAAATATACTCCACCGGCACAAAGAACATGATCCCAAATACATAAATAATAGACTTACAGTGGGTTAGGTAGGCTATTCTCTCCCAAACCCCAATCATATGATTCAAGACAACAATCGCATACCCCAACCCTAATCCTATTAACCTCTATTTATACCAAAAAATAATAACTAACAAATGACTAAATTGCCCCTTTAGAATTGCGCCTAAAATAGATCCTCAAATTATTTGGCGTGCTTAGTGTAGGTTCAATAGGACCACTTGGCTCAGTGGAACCCAAGGCAGAAGGTGCCAAAGGCGCTGGTCTAATATTACTCCTATCCCAATAGGACACCTTGTCCTCAAGGTGAAGGAGAGAAAAGGGTTGTTGGATCAAGTCGTATGAGCCCTACGTGGCGTTATAATCTGGCAACCCTTTTCAGTTAATCAACACTTCTTTTCCACTTGTCAATTCTTGGAGCACTCCTTTTAACTCATGTGCCTCTAAGAGAACATTCATATCCCCAGTCAAAGTAGGGGGCAGTGAAGAAGAGGACACCTTATCACCAACAACACATTTCAGTTGCGATGCGTGGAACATTGGATGGATTGCGACGAAAGTGACAATTATAAATGATAAGGCACCTCCCTGCTACGCTCAATGATCTCATAAAAAACAAAATAACATGGGGAGAGCTCATTTCCATGTCGGCACAGTATCTTATATCAATAGGGTCAAAGTTTTAGATACATCTTATCTCATACCGCAAATCACACATCCCTTCGATGTCTTCACTTCCGCCAACATCTTGTCCCTCTCTTCTAAGCACTGATCCACTGGAGATACCGGTGTAGTACTATGTCCATAATGCACCAAATGAGGTGCGTCGTGGCCACACAAGATTTTGAAAGGAGTGGTCTTAGAAGTTGTATGATACGATGTGTTGTACCAATACTCTGCCCAAGATAGTTATTTAGCCCACTGTTTGGGTGCATCAGATACAAAGAAGCGCAAACAAATATCTATACTTTGATTTACAACTTTGGACCGTCCATCAATCTGTGGGTGGTACGTTGTTCTTTTCTTTAATACAATCCCTTATATTCTAAATAGCTCCTTTCAGAAATGACTCCAGAAAACCTTGTCTCGATCAAACACTATCGATTTTGGAATCACATGTAAACATATCTCCTATATAAAAGCATTAGTGAGTGTAGGGATGATGTAGTGGTACAAAGTGAGTGTATTTGCTCAACCAATTCAGCATCACCAAAATGACCGTAAATTCTTCTAACCGAGCTGATGCTTCAATGAATTCCATTGTCACCTCCTCCCATACCATCATTGGTAATGCTAGAGTTTGTAGCAACCCCTTAGGCGTTAACAACATGTAGCTTGTGCCTTTGGAATACATTATACCTTGAGATCTTCACATCCTTTCTCATTCCCACCTAATACAATTTTGATGATATCCTTTGGTACGTTTTGAGCACACCTGAATTACCTTTGAAAGCACTAACATGAAACTTCTGCAATAATTTTTGTGCCTTGAATTTCGAGATAATATATAGATTCCTTGGTAAAATAAATATTGGTCATTTAGTGAATAATTGGGCTTCTTATTGTCGCCATTTAATAAAGATGACCAGAACTAGGCTGATTCCTCATCTGTGTCACTCTCTTACCTTAGGATCTTCTCCATCCGTCATAATAAGGCATTAGCAACCCTGTTCTCTAATCTGGGGTGATACTGACTCACAAAGTCATTACCCGACAATTTAGATAGCCAACTCTATTATTCCTCGGTCACGATGTGTTGTTCTAATAGAAATTTAAGGTTTTGTTGATCTGTGTGTGCTATAAAATGCTACCCTAAAAAATAAAGTTGCCATTTTTAAAAAATAAACACAATGATCGTAAGCTCCTTGTCGGCACTAAAAAAAGTTGAGGAGTTGTACGTTAGAAGCTGTCGGCCGCCGGAATCGGAATCCCATCGCCCGCTTCGAAAAAACATTTTAATATATATATATATATATATAGTTTAAAAGAAATATATATGAAATCAAACTGATCTCATATCTTTCATAGTTTAAATGAAAGAGTACTACACCTCAAGTTTTACATTTATCTAGAAACATAAACACAAGACTTGAAGATGTGGCTCAATCAAATAAATTAAGAAATGTATGACATCCGTTTGGTCTACGAAACCATTTCATATAATAAGCAGACAAGTTCCCCTATTTAATATGAAAAATTAAATAGGGTTTATATTAAGTTGGGTTCTTAATATTTTCTATAAAGGCATGCCCTTATAGTTAATTACATCTTAAACAACTGAAGTCGCCTAAGAAAACTCTCGATAAAAATCAGGGGATATTGTATTCAAATAAGTGAAAGGAATATGATTTTTCGACGAGATCGGACGAAGAGGTGTGAAAGGAAATGACTCAAATTTGGAACATTTATTGTGAAATTCAAAAGAAGAAAAAAAACTAGGGGATGTCACGAATCTTGAGGAGAACCTAGACGACTTCCCAGTCTACCCTATGATTTGGTTTCAATTTAGAGGAGAAATATTTAAATGTTTCATCCCACCAATTTTATTAATTAGAGCTTACATTCGTGTGAAACGATCACACATGAATAGCCTGGAAGATGTGAGAATTTATGTCGTGACAAACGACAACTTCAGAATCCTAAAACGAGTTAG